GTTCGATCATATAAATATGATTGTAACCAATTTATTGATATTGGATCAAAGTGATAGCATTTAAGTTTTCTAATTAGTATATCATGATTTACGAGATCAAATGCTTTGCTAAAATCCAAATAAGTAATGCCAACGAAGTTTCCTTGATCTATCGCATGCAGCCAATTCTCAGTTAGTTTTGTGAGAGCTGTCTGGCACGAGTGAAATTCTCTAAATCCAGATTGTGCTTTCATTAATAAATCAAAATGAGAAGTAAAGATGCGTATATTTTCTGCTACATGCTTCTCTATAATTTTCGATATAGTTGGTAAAATTGAGATTGGGCGATAATTTCCTGGGTCAGATTTATCACCTTTTTTAAATAGAGGAGTTACTTTTGCGACTTTTAACTGTGAAGGAAAGGATCCCTTGATTATGCTAGAATTTATTAGATGTGTTAGAGGTTTGGATATTATACTAGCTGAAAGTTTAAGCAATCTAGGTCCAAGAAAGTCTATGCCGGCAGATTTGTTTACATCAAGCCTCTTCAACATATCATGTACTTTTGCTTCATTAATCAAAGGAATTTCAAAAAAGTCATGATCTCCAAGTTTTGTCTCAGTGTATCTTTTCAATTTTTCTGATTCAAAACTATTTAACGAAAGATTATTTAATAATTTTTTGGGAATTTGTGCAAAATGTTCATTAAAAGCATTTGCAATATCCTGTAAATTATCAAGATCTAGCCCATTATATGTTATATTGGGAGGAGATGAATTTTTATCTGATTTTGAGGCCAGCTGATTTAAATGACCCCACATTTCCTTTGATGTAGAACTTTTTTCAATTACTGTTTTATAATATGTACATTTTGCATCATTAATTAAAGAGGTGACTTTGTTCCTCCATAATCTAAAATTGCCCATGTCACCCTGCTTATGGAATTGATCTCGTAAATTCCTAGCATCATTTATTTCTGAAGTCAACCATTTAGTGCGAAATTCTGTTTTCACACGCTTTGTTTTAACTTTTGCATGCTTATTAAGTTTAGAATTGAAAATTTCATAAAAACAGTTTAAGATGCAGTAACTTGGCACAGAGTATCCTTGGGGAAAGGGGATTCAAGTTTGTTCAAATGAAGGGCCTCACCCACTTCTAAGGGGAGGTTAAGAAATAGTGAAAAATTTGTGGGGTCATATAAAAACCCAAAGAACCACAGGGGTAGAAAAGATTAAACCTATACAAAAGCTTGCTGACATAGTGTAGCTTCAATTTCGTTGAAGTCATGACCCCCATGATTAGGGTGGGATAGGATGGGCAATCAAAGTTTAACTTCAGAATATATTGGTTTAATCTTTAAAACTCTTCTTCCCTAGAACAACAAAGCTATGATTTGTCACATTCACAAGGAAGCATCGTCAGGTAATGTAAATTAAGATTTGATAAAATCATGAGACACCCTTCCCCCTGGGGAAGGCTGGACCACAACAGGAGATTTAATGAAGTTATACAAGCAGGTGCCCTGTGTGTCGATTATTTTGAAAATCTTATCTCGCAGAGGTATTTCCCATGTGATCTAAAACTATTAGTCAATTTATCAAACCTATTCCAAATCTCACACCTGACTTGTGTATTTTTGACTTTGATTGCCAATTAATTAAATTATTAGAATTTATAATTTCATAAATACATGTATCATTTTATCCTGACAAATTTGGACTTTTAAAGTCATCTTAGTCACTCTAATGACACATTGCTTTCTTTGTTGGCTGTTGTCAAGCAGGTGTGTGTGTTATTTGCAAAGATTTCCACAAAAATTGAGTTCATCCACAGCTTTGCTCCGTATCCCCCTTGTTTGATTTTTTAGTAAGAATTATTATTGTAGCGAACCCATGAAAAAACACCATAATATTAAGCTAACCATGTAACCAAAATTACTTCATCATTCTACGATCCATGACGGAACATGAAAACAAATCTAAATATATGTAGAAATTATGAAAATGCAGGTTGAATTTTGTATTTCTGCATGTACATGTGTGTTGAACACACCATTTGATTTCACCTCTCTATCAATGTGAGGACAGTATACATAATTATTAATATACAATAAAACATGCTTATTGGAAACTTGATTACAATAAAGAATGAATCCTCATAACACTGCTTTCTCGCCCCTTTTTAAATGCAGAATTTTACCTTTTCAAATCAGAACATTGTTATATTATAGCTAAAGTCTTCAAGCATAGTCTGTAAAGATACTCATAAAAGATTTTTTGGGGAAAGAGACTTTCAATATATACATTATATCGATTAAATAAAATCGTATACTTCATTGTAAAATCCCTGTTTCGCCATTACAGCTATGTAGGTCATTGTATTATCTAAACGTGAAGGCGGAGCATCTATCAATTGTGCGATTAGTATGAATACATTAGCGTGTACGTGTTCGAGGTGTACTAAGTTTTATGATTAACTGACACCTAAAAAGCCTTTTTCATGCTAGAGACCGACAAAATATAAGGATACATTTTTAATTTGGCTTGCATATCTTTGATATCTTTTCTGCTTAACTTATGTGTCGTATTTGAAGTGATTTACTAGCAATTCATTAAATTATTTATATATTAAATACACAATGGAATTTGGAAACAGAACGTATAACAAAGGATACACTATTTTTCACACTTTAAAGAAACCTTTTTTTTTTGAAAAAGAGATAGTTAATCCATTTAAGCTTATTACGTACATAATAAGAAATTTTTCATACATACTGCATAATTATATATAATTTTGCAGAATCCGAGTACTACAACAAATACACGTAGGCGGTTGAATTATGATAAAAAACTACACTCAGTGTATAAAAAATAGATAGTTAAGAAAGTGAAAATTTAAACGTCAATTAAATGTAAGTTTAACGTCAGTATCATCGCTGGTGGATAAAGAAACATCCGTGTCAGTGTACTTTGTACAGTCAAAATTGCATTGCTTCAAAAAATCCTGTTTATTCATGCCAGACAAGTTAATATGATCTTCCTCATTTAGGAATTCATTAATTGTCAAAATCTACTCCTTCTAGTTTTTGATTTTAACAAACCCTCTCCCTGTAGTAAGATAAATAATAAATCACTCCAAGGTATTTTTAATGCCTTTTTTCATTCGACTGATTTTTTTTTACTAATATCTAGATTGGACATATGAAAGGGTCATGCAAATGCATGTTCTTGCTTTTAAACATTGTGCTTTAAAAATACCTGCGAACATTGACTTTCTATTACATGATCTGCCAAAAAAAAAAAAAAAAAAGTGAAATTTTGTGCCAATGTAAAAGGTTATAGCATTTGCTTCAGAAGAAACCTGAAGCTTCCTTCTATTCAAATTAGGGGTGCTTTTTGTGCAAATGTATTCATCCAGTGACTTTTCGTCCGATACACAGTTTTTTTTTAGCGCTCCGTACTTCATTTTTTTTTCCATGAAGGTTTCTTCTTTTGGAAGCATGCATTTGTGCACTTGTAACAAACAAATTATTTTTCTAAAGATATGATGAATTGGTGTTTTTCAAATAACGGACTATAAAATTAATGACAGTTTTAACTGAAAAAATCTTTCATATCTTCCAAGTCAATGAAAGAAGCACTGGTGTATATTTAGGAACAATGGCAAATGTATAAAATATACCCACAGTAATTTAAGTTTTAAAATTCTGTATTTATGAGACGCAAGCAGTGAGTGCAACCTATATGCTACAGGACATCAATATAAATTGATAGAAACCGAAAAAAAAAAAATCAAACAAAATCGACTGAAAATATTAAAACATCTTAATCATTAAAAAAAGTTTTCTCCCAGAATTTTAATTACCCATTTGAAAAATGATTTGACCATCGATAGCTCGCAGACACTAGAGACAATGAAGTGAATAGATTTGAGGCACGTGTTCAGTGCTTTGTTATTCATGAGGTCAAAGACGGGTTGGAATTTGTAAACAAGGTGCCTTTACTATGGAGACAAGCACCCGTGATTTTGCACCTTATTGGAAAATAACAAATGAGCGCAAAACTCAATTTCTTTCATGAATGTAAATGGCTAGTATAACTTTACTCTTTACATTGACCGTATTTACGACAACTTGAAACATTTATGCACTCATATAAAAAATGGGCTTGCAAAATGGGGGTGTGGCCTAAAGTCCATGAGAAATCAATGTAAACAACACACCCCTGCTATATTAATCACATAAATACCTAATTACAGCGCAAGGAAGTAAAAATTGAAATTGAAACTAATAAACTACAATGTTTGATGGAAAGATTGAGGCAAAAATATGTAGAAAATCTTTAATTTAATTTTTTGTAACTTATTGGCAGACCTGATTTGGAAGTTTAAACGATTCATCCTTTACCTTACAGTAAAGTGATTTTCATTCCCCATGACTTAAAAATATATTGTAAACTTAACAGGTATAGTGAATTATTACGCCTTATAACAAAGTGAAATTGTCCGTCCCTGGCACTTCATCATAAGCATGTTTAACTGTATATCTACATGCATGTTTTAGGATCTGCAATAACTTAAGGTATCCTCCTGTGATGTCATAGGTTTTTGCAAAAACCGTTATTAATTTAAACTTATACCCAATAGAATAATATCTTTTGTACGAATGCCTTTCAATTGGTGTAATGAAAAATATTGTTAAGTAAAAGAATTTAAAAAAATGCATATTTTCTTCATTTAATCAATTATTCAATCTTTAAAAATGTTGCTAAGGGCAATAACTCCTTCTCATGTATCTTCATTCAGGTATTCTCTTTATTGTACTTCAGATGTGAAATGGATTCCCTGATAATCACAATTTTAAATATTTTTATAAAGAAGCAATTATTTTGGAACTTTTAATTTGTGTAAATTTGAACACAATTTCCTAAAAATTCAATTAAAAAAACACAAATATCTGAAATGTTTGCATTTTCAACTTTCAATTTAAGGTGATTTGGAAATAATTAGGGCTCCGGATTGACATGGTTGGGGTAATTGGTCAGATTTTGAGCTGTTAATTGTTGTTTAAATACCATTCTGTTACCCAGACTGTCCTGTGTTTCTTAATGATTTTAATTAAATGATCGTTCAGCAGTGTGAACTGATTATGTGTACTGTACCTCTTCTATCCTTTTCAGTTATACCCATTAAATTATATTATTAAACAAACATTGTAAATTAAGTGAGATTTAGACTTAGTTTTGATTACTAGTATTGTGACAATACAGAATGACCTTGTGTGACATCTCTTATGATTTTTTTAATGTTTCTGAGACTTGCATGTCTACCGGGTATCTTTATTTTTCTTTCCTTTTTCCTTCTTAAATTGAGATAAGATATAAATAGTGTTCTGATAAGTCAACATAATATTTCTACATTTAACATCTTTATAGCTTTGTTTATTTTCGCAGAGCATAAAATGAAATATAAAGAGAATTTGTGATATGATTAACCGATTAATCGGTCGGAACGTCTTGCGGTTAACTGAATGGCAATTCTGTATTCGATTGCCATCCCTAATATATATATATATATATATATATATATATATATATATATATATATATATATATATATATATATATATATATATATATATATATATATATATACCATTCATGTTAGCTCAGTTGGTAGAGCGCTCGCTCCGTGATCGGGAGGTCTTGAGTTCAAATCTCGGCCTCGACTGAGCTAAGTCAATAAAAAATGGTAGCAACTGTTCCTTCGCCATGCGCTCGGCACTTTGAAGTGAAAGTTGTGGGTCCTTGGGATGAGACTTTAAAAAACCGAGGCCCCGTGTCAAGGCAGGCGTTTGCACGATAAAGATCCCTCACTGCTCAATGGCCCTGAGTGTCGAGTAAAGGTCAAAATTTGAAGCCCTTCACCGGTATATGGTGACCTCTCTATATGAGTGAAAAATTCTTGAATGGGATCTTAAACAACATACAATCAATCAATCAATCTATATATATATATATAAATATATATATATATATATATATATATATATATATATATATATATATATATATATATATATATATATATATATATATATATATATATATATATATTTATATATATATATATTTATATATATATATATATATACATATATATATATATATATATATATATATATAAATATATAATATGATACAATTGGTAAAATGTTTGTTGTCAATCCTCAGTTTTGATAAAAGAGATATATAGCCATTAAATGATGTGCTTTAAAAGGAAATCCTTAACTAAATAACAAAATTCCTTTTTTACAGTGGCTGATGAAGACTCACCCTTAAAGACATTTATCAGGATAAATACTGCAGATTTGAAACCAGACCCGAGCAGTGAAGTTTCTGTCTCTGCTACAAATGAAAAACATGACAATTTGGAACGAGGAAATACTGATAAAAACAATGAAGTAATTTATAGCAGAGAAGAAAAGAAAGAACGAAATATTGAGTTGTCCAGTTCTCTAACTGAAGGCAAAGAAGAAAAGAAAGAAGATAATATGGAAATGTCTCGTTCACCAACTGAGGGCACAGAAGAAGAGAATACAGTAGAGACAATGGCCAGTGTTCTCTCCTCAGAAGCACAAGCAATGGTGAAGGATGAAATTTTTCAGAAAATCTTGTCTGAAAAAGAAAAGTTACCAACAGTAAGCATGCTGGATTTTGCTGGGCAGTTAGCATATTATGCCTTCCACCAAATTTATGTAACACCAAAGGCCTTCTTCATCCTTGTGTTGGACATGACTAAGAGATTTGAAGATGTTGTCAGTAAAGAGAAAGATAATCAAGAAGGATCAATCTTCTCTGTGTGGACTTACAAAGGTACGACATGATGTCATGATATCAAGACTTACATAGGTAAAATATGATGTCAATATATCAAGACTTACAAAGGTAAGACATGTTGTCGTGATATCAAGACTTACAAAGGTAAGACATGATGTCATGATATCAAGACGTACAAAGGTAAGACATGATATAGTGATATCAAGACTTACGAAGGTAAAACAGGATGTCATGATATTGACTTACAAAGGTAAGACATGATGTAGTGATATCAAGACTTACAAAGATAAGACATGATGTTGTGATATCAAGTTTATGTCTTTATGACTGGCATTAGTGAAGGTGAGATTATGATTTTGTAACAGACACTCTGGCCTGCAGGCTAAAGAAGTGCTTAATTGTAGCAGGTAGCTGGTAGAAATGTGAGGATCATCTGTTTATGCCTGAGTGTATATATTTATACATCATAACACAGTAACTCAATCAGTGTTTAGCTCACCTAAGCATTAGGCTCATGTGAGCTTTCTGATCAAAATATGTCTGTCATTATCTTAATCATGTTGTAATGAAGGGCTTCACTCACTTTTAAGGGGAGATAATTAAAATAAGTGAGATCTTAATGAGATCTTTTTAAAATTTCAAAAAAGCACTGGACCATAAAAGATTAAACATGTTAACGTAGAACCTACGTCGTATGACGTCATATCAAGTAAATCACTTTAGACCGTCTTTTTGATGCTAGATCCATTATGACGTCATAATTAATTTAATGTTACTTTTTACCATTTTATCTCCAAGACTGTCTCATGTAATGAAGTTACACAACTGTGATAATGTGAATGACATGCAACTATTTTGAAGGAAATTAAAAATCCTAAGAAATCTAGATAGTACAATATCTTGATAAAAATGTCTCTGAGTCAAAGGTCTGTTAAAATTGTGTGTAAATATTGTAATGTCTATCATGAAATGACGTGCATTCCCTTTCATAATTATTTGTTAATTATTCATAATGGTTGGTGTATAATAATAATGTTTCCCAAAAATATCTTTTTAAATAAAAAAAATTGCATTTTTTGATAAATATTTACATTGTAAATCTGAACGTAACCCCAAAACAGTCATTTAATAATTAAATCCTGTGTTAGTGCAGAAAGGTCAACAAAAGAAGTACTGATAAATAGAGTGTCTCTCATTCGTTTGTGGGGAAAGGTATATATTTTAATCACTTTTTGTAATTATTTGGGTATGTTCTTCATCACATTAAAGATTGAAAACTATATGACAAAGACTTTTGAAAAATATTTACAGATTTAGGTGGTAAATTGACTAAAAAAATATTGAGCTCATTTGCCTGTATTCGTTGAAATGTGGACTTAATCTTTTATGTCAATTGAATAAAAAAGAATTTATTCTTGAATAATATTGCTTAATACAGTTCAGTTGATAAAGTCTATAAACGACGATGTTTGTAGAAGTTTTGTTGTGATTTTCTATATTCTCATTATGATCAGTACCCCTAAAAATGGCTGAAAATATATAGTCGCAGTTTAAAATTATCATTCCAGGTTGCATAGGTTGTACTACATTTAATAACATGGAAACATACCATATATTTTTATCTGATTGACAAGCGAGTGCTAATTTATCATTTTGAAAAGTTTGAAAATCTTGTGACAAAGACTTTTCTGACATAGGTTCTACCTTAAACATTTTTAGTTAGTGAAATGTTTGTTTGTTTGTTTGTATGTTGTTTAACGTCCCTCTCGAGAATTTTTCACTCATATGGAGAGGCCACCACTTGCCGGTGGAGAGCTGCAAATTTTATCCTATGCTCGGCACTTACGGCCATTGAGCAGTGAGGGATCTTTATCGTGCCAGCACCTACTGCGACACAGGACCTCGGTTTATACGGTCTCATCCGAAGGACAGGTCTCCATGTCCCACAGTGGGATTCGAACCCGCGACATAAGGATCAACTCCTTACCTCGCGTTAGTGAAATGTAAAACTTGTTCAAATCATAACCAGCAGAGATAGGGTGGGGCCCCAATGGGCATAAGGGAATGTAATGGAAAATGTTTTAAAAAAAATTTTCAAGTTCAGCAAAAACCTTGATTAGTCGTATTTTTCGAATAATTTAGTTATGGTTATAACACGCCGTTTGATTGGTTAAAAAAATTATATTCTATAGCCTGTGTTTCCTATGTGAAAATGACCTTATTCAAAATTGCATCACTCCTCTTTGTACAAATTGAAGGCATTTTTGATTGGTAAATTATTTTATTTTTTTACATTGAATGATAGAAAATTAAATTATTGAGAAATCACTAATTTTCGTGGAGGTTTATTTTTTGTTGTTTTCGAGGTATGAAGAGATCCAAGAATTCATGTCCACCACAAAACGTAAAATGTCATATGCATATCTACTCAACAATTCTTCATCTACAAATTAAAATTAAATCCCCACAAGCCCATATTTTTTCTTCAAACCACGAAAATATGTGATTTTACAGTTTAAGGAATGATTTTAATAAATATTAAAGTAATACTGGTATAACCTGGGTTTGAACACTTAATGTTTTTTTTTTATTTTTATAAACCGCTTCACGGTTAATAAAGCTTTACTATCTCAACCCAGGTTACACAGTGTTAACTTTTGGTAGCTATTAAATTCATTCCTTATTATTTAATTTTCTATCATTAAAGTTGGTACCTGTACACAAGAATGGTACATTACGATACACTTTTGTGCAGGCCGTTTTTAATGTCAAGGTAAAGTGCTGCTCTAGTTACTGAAGTTAGAAGAATGCGTTCAAAAACCTATTTCCGAAAATTTTTGCTTGATTTGAATAAATTTGTTGGAGAATCTTTAAAAACAACTAGACATATAATTATATACCTGTATAATGAAATATATGAAGATAGCAAACGGTATTCAAACTCAAAAGTCCATTAAACAATACAAAATAGGAAGAGAGCAAACACGGACCTCCAAAACATCAGAGGTGGGATCAGTGCCATGGAGGAGTGAGCATCCCCTGCTGACCGGTCACACCCGCCATGTGCTCCTTGTCATATTCGGGAAATAACGGAAAAATTCGCCGTCAATTCAGTGTGTAAATAATGGCCTAACAATTAGTATGAAAAAAAGTCTGTCAGCATTTGACTCAAAGATAAATTGTATTTGCTGACAAGGTCGTATCGACCATAGAACTTACAAAATGATGACTTTAAACGACACTGCTGTTATTCTTGTTTCATCAACTTGTTTGTCAATAATTTACCTCGTTTTAGAAATTGTACATACGTAGAGCATGCTCTTGCGTATCGAATCAACTGAGAGATATAAACCCTGTATGCTGGTGATGAAGGTATATTGCTGCATAAGTATGGGAAGTTGACGATTGAAAAGTTAAAGTCATCACGTTTATCATTAAGCTTGGTTGTTAGATTGCCATTCCTTTTTCAAGTAAAATATCCAAATATGAAACAGATAATTTTATACCTGTATAACCCAAAAAAAAGTTTAACTCACTGTACAACCTTATCCTCCCACTGTTTGTAAGTACAATCAGAAGAGCTACACTCTCGTCAGAGACATCTGCCTGTTTTATTTTATTATGATGCTCTATTTGTTTTTGTAGACTACCTGAAGTTTTGGATTACCTCAATCAAGACATTTGGAGGCAAAAAGGCACCACTGTTTCTTGTTGTCACACACACAGAAAGAAAATCTACAGCTGTAAGTATTTATCCTAGCAGAGGTATTTCAATGTGAATGTAAATTAGGAGAAATTAACAGATCATTAACAAATCGTGAGAGTGTAAAGGTAAATTTACAGTACAACAAACTTATAGCAAACACATGTTTATAATGAAAAGACGCTCACAGCAAAGTTATTTTCATTCCCAGTGGCTTTAAAATATATTTTTAAGTTAATGGATATAAGAAATTATATAATTATGAAACAAAATCACCCATCCCTGGCACTTTGTTACAAGCATGTTTTACTTTATTCTTTTTTCTGATTTCGATTGTAAAACAAAAATTGAGTACAAATGTTTAAACTGAAATTATACATTTTCAAATCTAAATATTCAACTTAGCACAGAGTTGTATTTTAAGTTCATTTGAGCCAAAGAATGACCTTTTCTGATCAAAATTTGACCTTTGTCTTTCAGCATTGTTGTCATCATCATTAACTTTTCACATTTTTATCTTCTCCAGAACTACTGAGCCAATTCCAACCAAACTTCCTACAAAGCATTCTTGGGTAAAGGGGATTCAAATTTATTCAAATGAATTTTTAAGTAGATAAATAAGAAAAGTGAAAATATGCTCTATTCACGTGACCATGCAAAATTCCTGTTTTCAAAACGAGGCTTGGCGTACATAACGCGACTGCAGCAGCATGGCGTTTAGAGCATCATTTAAAAGAGAGAAGAGTTCGGCATCCCACTTTTGTGTTCCCTTGTTTAATGGGGACAGTAAACAAGAATTTGTTTTGTCTTACCATCTTTTTCATTAAGATGTAATTCTACGTAAGCAGTGAATAGTTAAAATAATGAGACAAAGTGCCATACTTCCACATACATGTAAGTTTTCTCAAGGTCAATGAGTAAGAATGCTAGCTGGAAACCTTGTAGTTCACAGGGTAATGAAAATATATCGATTAATTACATTATGTATAAGGTTTCGTTATGATTTGATTAATGTTATTTTCATAATTGAAATTAAAGCTATTAAATAAAACCACTCTTGCAGTTAATCTGAGATTCCTCTGTCATGCTGATGCTTACACCTGTTTACAGTTGAACAATTGGAAGACCTATGGTCCTCTAAATAAGACCGCATATACAGTGTACATGAAAATAAACATTTTCTAATGAACCTGGATTAATTGATTAGTGAAATCATCCTTAGAAACAAGTTTGTTCAAATAATGACCCCATGGGGTACAATGGGGCTACAATGGAATTTTGCATGGGTTTGTATATATTAGAACAATGTTTAAAATATTTTTCTTTTCAAGAACAGCGGGGCTGTGATGTGTGATACAAGAGTACCAAAATGCATAACATTCCTAAAAAAACAGATGAACAAAGAAAAAATTATCGTTCAACACAATTTAACTATAGTAACTGCTGATAAAAACAGAAGAGCCATAGTTACTCGTTAAGCGTTGTGACCCATGGGCCTTTGGTTTCTCAAAATATAGCTCTAGGAGTTCAGGTTGGGTACAATAAGGGATCAATATTTTAAAAGGAATTTTATGAAATTTTTTTTTTTCAAAAACAAGAGCCACACTATTTTGCAATTATTTAAGGAATCACTGCTTCGCCCGTTATGCAAATTATCCCACGTTTTCAACTATCGTTGATGCCCAGGCATATTCTACTAACTAGACAGTGATTCCTTATATTTCCATTTCATTGTGAAATAAAATTGTAAATTTCGATTTTAAAAATTTAGACTAATAGATTTAAATTACACTAGGCCTCCCATGTCAATTTCAATAGTCCCCTCTCACTGACGTCAAACACAAAGAGAGCTGCACGAGATTTACATGCATATTAGGCATCCTTAGCGTCAGACACAAAGACAGATGCATGAGATTTACATGCATATTAGGCCACCTTAGCTCCTGACCTATTGCTTGTCGAAATTTACATTCAGGTAGAATGATCAAGAAATCAACTCAACTAACTTTCAAAGAGTTATCACAGAGAAAAAAAATGAAATGGAAATATATGGAAATTGTTGTTTGGATTCAATCAATTATATTTTTTCTTGAAGAAAGAGATGGGATTTTTTTAAAATATTGTAATAAACAACAGGAATGTCAGTGAGATTCAGGTGGGTGTTGTGGCCCTTGGGCCTCATGTATTCTTTTTTTATGATTTTATTTACCTTTTCAGGCAATTAAGAAGTATTTTGAGGAGTTTTGGGAAGCAGTTCCAGATGAGGACAGAGATTGGTTAAGAGATTCTCTCAATGATCGTGAATATGCAGTGGGTCTAGATGAACTAAATGACAACTCGAAAAAAATGCTGAAGTCAATGAAAATGTCCATAGTTGAACTATTTAAAGATGAGATAAATACTAAAATTGAAATGCCTTCTTCATGGGCTTTAATGGAACAGTTATTGTATGAAGGAGCATGGAAGGTTTTGTCCCTTAGTGAAATCTGGAAGCTCAACTTATCCCTTCCCCATGAATACCAAATTAAAAGTGATGAGGAAATGTCTATGTTTTTAAAGTGTTTCCATGACAATGGCCTTCTTTTGTATTTTGAAGAAGAGAAATTGAGGGAAAATGCAGTGCTTGACATTCAGTGGTTTGCTAAAGCTTTCAGCAAGATCATTGCTGATGAAAACCATATCAATAAAGACTGCAAAACGAATTTAATCAAAGAGTGGAAATCCTTCAATAAAACGGGAGAACTTAAAGATAAAGTAATAGATGCACTTTGGAAAGATGAACCTTCATACTTGAAACACAAAAGTGAAATTATGTCTTACATGGAGAAGCTTCAAATGCTGGTACCTTTAGAGTCTTTTGGGGCTGTATCAGAAGGCGGCATGTCATGGTATGTCCCATGTATGAACAAAAAACAATTTAAAGCTGATTTTTGTGAAGATAAATGGGAAGGTTCCTCCATTTTGTGCTTTCGATTCACTTCTTTTGCCATGTTTGTGTTCTACAGACTGGTAGCATACTGCATGAGTTTTCTAAGATGGAGTGTTTCAATAGATGAAGACAATGAAGGAAGTCCATGTCTTTATCAAACAGCAGCAGTGTTTGATCATAATGAACACACTGTTGTTGTTGGCATTTGTAATGACGATATCCAGTTGCAAGTATTGAGAATCACGCCGTTGACTGTAGACAAAGATGCATCAAATGAAATTGGAGACTCCATTGAAAAAGCCATAGAAAAACTGACAGAAACATTTATCGATACAAAAATATTCCACAGAGGATACAAATGTCAAAACGTTATTTGTAATGAGAAAGATCTTTCTTTCACCCTTGCAAGTGAGCTCTCCAATATTAAAACTGATAAAGACATTCAGTGCAAATGTCGACTTCAGGAGAAACACGTGATAAATACACAAAGGACTCTGAGTTTCTGGGAAAAGGTAACTTTAATTATTAAATTATATTCTCCAGCAAACAAAAATGTAAGGATTCATCTTGTCCATCTTTTTGTTTAAATTTGTCTGATTTTATAACTGGGCTCCACCTTTGTGTGGAAAATCATTGTAAGATCACACTGGCAGAGAAATTGCTTACAATTAATTGCTTGAAATTGCAAGAAATTGCTGGGTATCATCATGACTTGATTTTGACCAAATACTATTTGGGAAAAAGGTCACATGTACAAAAAAAAAAAAAAAAAAAGTTGACATTCGTGTCCAGTCCATTAATGTTTCATGGAGACATTGGAAGTTCATTTGTACAAAGATTGTTAATTACTTACAGATGTGTCTTGATCTTAACCCAATGTCTTTTGACCAGTTTAAAAAAAAATGTTTCAGTTACTATGCTAGCTACACAGGTAAAATTGCAACGTATGTTCAACATATGTTTCGAGTAACATAGGTTGAACATATGTTGAACATATGTTGACCATATGAATTTTAGACAGTATGTTGAACATATGTTTAAAATATATGTTGAACATATAGCAGACTCAGAACATATGTTGAACATATGTTTGTGTTAACTATATGCTTAACGTCTGTTGAACATATTTTAAACATATGGTTGTTTCAAACATATGTTCAACATATGTTTTGAGTTTCACATAAAATTCAGACTGAACATTATATAATAACCAATAGCCTTTTCACATTTATTTCATTTAATATTAAATTAATGTTATCGTTATTTGAATTAATTTTATTTTAATTTAAAGATATAAAAAAATATGTTAATTAATTTAATGTTAATCAGTGAACCAGCAATAATTTAATATTAAGCCTAATATGAAAAACACCAGTTAAATGTTATATATATTTTAACATGTCAGGGCAGATCCAGCAAATTTTGAAAGGGGGGAGTCCAGGTCGGTGCCCGTAACACTCATGCATAGAATAACACCATAGGAACTTCAAGCCCGTACCAACCCCCGGACCCCCCCTCCCCACCCCCTCCCCCTTCTGGATCCGCTAATGCAAGTAGACTGCATGTTAAAAAATTGATTTCAATAACATGTATCAAGATCAATTTGAATACATTTATTCAAAAGAATGATAATTTCTTGTAGAAGCTTACATAAAAAAGGGGGAGGGTTAACTACTCTGTTACCCTGCACCCCCCACTAGTTTCTCCAAATTCAGCCCCCCCTCCTTTCTTCAAATTCAAAATTGTCTTCTTGAACATGACATGGTATTCCCCAAATCAAATTTATCAAGAATTCATAAATTTGTATTTTACCCCGTTTTGTTTGGATTTTATGAGTGAAATTAAAATCATTCCACATTTTATTTCCGGACCGGTTTTGGTTTTTATCGGATGAAAGTGTACCTACGTCATTTTTGACGTCACTGCTGCAGCAGAAGTGTTGGGTGTTGGAAACAAGTAAGTGCTATCAGTTATGTTTTTTTTATAATAGTTCATGGTGTTAAGAGAATTTCTTTACGGTTACAGATTCATACGAACTTCTAGTACTCTCGTGACTTGCATAACATCTAAATGTAGTTGTAATTAATGCAGTTCGTAAAAGGACGATACACCTAGTGATCTTATTGAGGCCTACATGCTACATTATTTTGGATTTGTTTTCGACGAATGTAAAAACCATTTGGCATTACTAATTTGTCAGATTTGTTTTCCTTTTGTCGATAGTTACGTTTGTATATTTATGTACGATCTTGATGAAAGTGAAAGTAGAAATCTTGCATTGCAGTTTGTATGTAGCCTTTGTTAAGATGGTTATCCACTCTGCTCTTTTATCAAATTATTAATGTAAAATGTTTGTTTTTATTATGTATTAAGCAACTGGAGTTTAGTGTCAGAGTGTCGTTTTTATTGAAAGAACCCAAAGCTTTTAAGACGATTCAACCCAAAGATGATTTGACTGAAGATTGTACGATCACAATACAGGTGAAAATAAATACATGTAAAAAATAATCACAGTAATTACAGGGTGCATATGAGTAATGAATCTTTAATAACAAAATATTTTTTTGAGAAATTTCTTTTTGCTTCTTAATTCTACACTGTTTTGCTTTATCAAAATTTAAACTCTCTTTTTTTTGGCTAAAATATTGAAGATATGGATATGGATAGAACTTGCTGGCTTTTAAACTATAGAATATCTGAAAGATGATTAATTTCAGCCTTATCTGGCATTCAAGATAATAGTGTAAATGTATTTATAAGTGCATCAGCTAATTTATTACTTAGTCATGTATTAATTGACATAGAATTTTTTTTCAACACTAGAGAAACTAAAGACTTGTACTCACTCTCTTTTGAAGTTTCTTTTAAGTTTTAATTGGAATTTGATTAGAAAATATTTATTGTATGAATATTTATTTATATTTTTTATAGGTTCAATATACAGTCTGTCTGCTATGAATAACATGGAAGAACACTATGACCCTAGGCTAGCTTCAGAATAGGTAAATACACCCTGTATTACAAACTTTGTTATTTTCTTCCAAACAAAGTTTTTGGATATACTGGAAACAAAATGTCTATTTCCTATTTCTCTGCCTGTTATCCAAACATAAATTTGTATCTGATTATCCATTTAATATTGATATATTATACTATTTCAACATTCCAAATTCATTTGTATACATGTAGAGAAACTAATTGTATTTTTTATGATTTTATTAGCTCACCTGAGCTGAAGACTCAAGTGAGCTTTTCTGATCACCCGTTGTCTGTCGTCTGTCCGTCTGTAAACTTTTCACATTTTCAACTTCTTCTCAAGAACCACTGGGCCAATTTTAACCAAACTTGGTTCAAAGTATTCTTGGGTGAAGGGGAGTTTAAATTGTTAGAATAAAGGGCCAAGTCCCCTTACAAGGGGAGATAATCAAGAAAAGACAAAAATAGGGTTGGGTCATTAAAAAATCTTCTCAAGAACCACTGGGCCAAAAAAGCTGAAAGTTATGTGGAAGCATCCTGAGAAAGTGTAGATTCTAAATTGTTCAAATCATGACCCCCAGGGGTAGGGCGGGGCCACAATAGGTATTACAACGGGGAAATCTGGTAAAGAACAGCATGGCCAAAGTTACTCAGGTGAGCGATGTGGCCCATGGGCCTCTTGTTATTAAGCATATTTTCAAGAGTGAAATTGTTTTAGACATAACATTATATGGTGTTACACAACACCATAAAATGTTTTATGAAATTAGTTTTAACTCATATCATAACTGTTTAGGAGAATGGGGTATGCATCTGTTTGCACATGACAAATATCTTCAGTGTATGAACTTAAATTACATGTAGAGTTTAATTTGTATTTCAGAGAACCTTAATCACCAGAACCTTAAAATTGAGACTCCACTGTGGTGCCACCCAGTACCTTAATATGTGACAATTTCAAATCCTATGATGAGGTTCCAAGGGGTTGTAAAATGGAAGAAAACAAAGAACAAGCCAAGAAAAAATTTGTAAGTGCTCAAAGTAATTAATCTTTGTGCTAACTAATACCAGTATATATTTATTAATTATACACGTAATTGACATGAAATTTGGACTTCTTAATTTGTATTATTTTTTATTTATCATTTCAGAAACAACGCAGTCACTGTCAGGGAAATAAAGCCAGAATTATGTAAACAATTTGAAAAAATAAACACAAGATTAATGCTTGAGATTGTGTTCTTTGATTTCTTAGTATTAAGTGATTAAAGGACAAGATCTATGTTAAAGGACAAGAGTACTATTTAGTTAACTTTGCAATCCAAAGAAATACAAAATAATTAAATAATAAATGTTAGTAAGAAATAAAATGAACATATGTTTAACATATGAAAAACATATGAACACAAACATATGTTAATCATATGTTCATACAAAACATATAAGCAACATATGTTGAACATATGATCAACATATGTTCATAAACATATGTTAAACATATGTTGCTCGTTTTTTATTGCGAACATATGTTTCAGAACATATGTTAAACGTATGTTCAACATATGTTAAACATATGTTGCAATTTTACCTGTGTATATCTTCTAACGGAGAAACATAGGAAGATCACAATTGACGCAAATATTGCTTATAGGCTTGAGGTGTTTCATAATCTTTCAAATGAAAAAAAATATAGTAAGTCCGTGCTTCACACTAAGATTGCCCATGACCTAAAGTTATGTCATGATCTTGATAAAGGTCCAAAGTTCCTTTCTGAACAAATCATTTTATAGGAAACTTGATTCACTCAGACCTATTGTAATCTGTTTTTGTTCAACATGGTTGTTTTCTGTTAACTTTTGAACATTTTCAGCTTCTTTTCAAGAACAACTGACTCTTTTTTGAAATATTACATGCAGGGTAACAAAGATTATCAAATTCTTGGTCTCTACCTCCGAGGCCTGGAGGCTTGAGTTGAAATCCATTCCTGAAAATTGCAGAGGCGAAATCAGGTGTCTAGGAGGAGTTAACAGCCCCTTTGAAAGGTCACACCCGATGTGAGCCCAATATATAATTATTGATCAAGACGGAATAGCTATTAATGCAGTTTTCAAAATCTTCTTTTAGTGAAAAAGGTTAAGATAACAAACAGTGATAGATCTTTAAAAAAAAGCTAACAAATAATACAAATCTATGAAAGGGAATAAAACACGGCCCCCGAAAATTTCAGCTGTTAGATCAGGTGCCTAGGAGGAGTAAGCAGCCACTATCGCCTGGTCATACCCGCTGTGTGCTCCTTGTATTGAGCAGGTAGACGGAATAATTTGTTTGTTCGCTTGTTGTTTTAACATCCCTCTCGAGAATTTTTCACTCATATGGAGACACCACCACGTGCCGGTGGAGGGTTGCAAATTTTCACATATACTCGGCACTCAGGGCCATTGAACAGTGAGGGATCTTTTTCGTGCCAACACCCACTGTGACACGGGACCTTAGTTTTTACGGTCTTATCCAAAGGAGCGGTCTCCAAGTCCCGCAGTGGATTAAAAAAAAATTACGTAAGGATCGGCTCTTTTTTCCACAACTCTAGAACAGACGCTTTTACTATTTCGCCAAGCGGACGAACTCGTAGTTAAATTTAGTATATAAGTCCTATAGTTTATAAGTCCTAACAATTCGTAAAAGACCGAAAGATCTGTAGTGCTGAACAGCTTGTTATAATATGATTATAGTATGTAATGAAACCTTTGCTGAAGTTGTTAAATTCGTGGTCCCTACACGGATTTAAACTGATCCTTTATTGAAATGCATTATATTTTATAACAAGATGTGTTTGTGAAACACTATGCCCCCGATGGGAAGACAAATCTGGAGTGGGACGTAGACTACAGTGCAATAGTTATGGCCAATATTAAAGCTTTTCAAATGTAGGTCAAAAGTCACAGTTGAGGTCACAGGATCAAAAATTTCTGTACCAATGGAAAGGTCTTTTCATAATGAACACTCATGTCAAATATTAAAGCCTTACCCTTGACAGCGCAATAGTTATGGGCTAGGTTAAAGTTGACAACAGACAGACAGACAGACAGACAAACAGAAAGACAGGACAAAAACAATATACCCCCGGGATCTTTCGATCCAGGGGCATAAAAAATCTGCTTTGCTGATATGCATTCTGTACAGGAACTATTTGCATGAGTTTAAGAAGTTTTCAGTCTTTAACCAAAATTGTGAAATATATCCCCCCCCCCCCCGGGCTCATAGTTCGAGTCCCAGGGTATTGCAAAATGTAAGTATGATATGATTTTTTACGACTATAGCATCAAGACTCCTCTATGACTATGAATTTCAGACTCCTGGTTGGTGCTAAATTGGTCATACATTGAAAATGCATAAAATTCTTCAAATGTTGTTTTTTACTTATGTATATCCCTTAGATGAAGTGTTTGCAAGAGTGTACAATTTCTGTATTATATTATTTCTATTATTCTTTCCAAGTATGTTTCTTTACAGTTTCTCTTCATCTGAATTTTTTCAATTACATGTAAATGCGCGGCCGATCTCAATGATAAACATAAGATAAATAGAAAGAGGCTTATTTTTAGTTTAATTGCTAATTAGTGGAACAGAAGATCGAGCATTGTATTCAGTCAAAATGAGGGTTATTAGGGCTTAATGTCAAGGTTTTATTCAGAATGCCACACATATGCCACACAAGGAGCGTATGTGTTTCTAAAACATGTCCTGTTTCTGTTTTAATTATATACCAATCTGAACAGCATTAAGATTTACCCTCTAGCAGACACAGTCTTTTGAATATAGAATGTCATTTTTAGCTTACCTGAGCTGAAAGCTCAAGTGAGCTTTTCTGATCACCCGTTGTCCGTCGTCCGTCCCTCCGTCCGTCTGTAAATTTTTACATTTTCAACTTCTCAAGAACCACTGGGCCGAATTTAACCAAAGTTGGTAAAAAGCATCCTGGGTGAATGGGAGTTTCATTCGGAAATGTTAAAATGCGCGACATTCAATTTTCTATAACACACTTATAAAAGTAATTTTCTTTTGGTCTAGCATCGCTAATTACATGTAGAATAATCTCTATACACTTTTCTTATCTTCCTATTAAGTTTGGTTCATTACCATAGTCATAATAACTATGCTTAACTGTATTTCAGAGAAAGGTATGTGATTCCAGTACTCCAGAGGCCTCTGGACAAGACCTTGGTGGCCGATCTAGATTTGCAAAACTTGGAATGGCAATGAACGACGTGTTAAATCAGGCTTACAGAGATATTCTAGAATCAGAATTACCCCCTTCTGATATTGAGAACAAGGTGAATTTATTATCAAACAAAAAGAGGATGAATCTGAAGTTGAACTCAGATCAAGAGGATCTTTTGAAAAGAGCAAAAAATTCTGGATATAAGGAATTTGATATTTCATTAACATACAAGATGATAAGAAACATCTGTTCAAAGATTCCTAAACCAACAAAAGGAAAATGGGGAGAAGAGCCAGCAGCAGGAGAGGTGACCGTAGGTGATGACATCGAGAGAATTAGGTTAATCCGAAACAGTTTGACTGCTCATGTGAGCTCAGCCTCCACCCCTCAGACAGAATTTGATGACACCTGGTCTACGATGTCAGATATCTGCCAAAGGTTAGAAACCTTCACTAGAAAGAAGTACTTGGATACCCTTAAGGATATTAAAACACTGACCTTGAGAAAGGAAGATGAGGATGCTATTATAAAGAATTTAAAAATGCAAGAGATTTTGGAGACAATCAAATCAAATGTCCAAGAATTAGAAACATTGATCAAACCTAATGAAGGTGCTACAAATTAGGAGTTCGTGAGTTCGAAGAAATCTGTGTAGAATACTAGAGAATTGCATGTTTTACTTGACACAGAATTCACAATCAAATTTGAATAATTTTATTCAAGGATTTTATTTCTTTGGAATTTTGATTTGTTAATTTAATTCAAGATTTAGAACAATGTGTGGTTTGATAAGAAAATCATTTTTTTTCTACTGATTACACTGAGTGAATTCAAACATTACAATGTTTCTGGACAATAAAGGCTATAGAATACAAATGACAACTAACCTTGCATGTAAATCATATTCAAAATGAAGAATACAAGGAGGGCAATTTTTGAAATACTTTAGCTTTAAAGCTCAGAATCATCAATGAATAAATTCAAACTTCAATGTTACTCTTTTTTCAATTAGCTGAATAAACTTCAACAGTTTTTTTAGAAACTAGGATGTATGAATGAAGAGAACGACAATAGTGAAATCTCTGTGCCTGTTTGTTTCATCCAAATCATATTGTCCTGTTAATATATAGTTGAAAATCCCATTGTGTTTATATGCGAAGTATTTTCGTACATTAAAGGAACCCTAATTTTAAAGGACAATTTTTTATGCCTTAGCAATAGTCATGCAAGATCTACTAGGAAAACGTGTCTTTAAATCATATTTAAATAACCCTAATTTTATAAGATGGTAAGTGCAGGAGAGTTTGTTTTAAAGGATTGTGTATCCTACTACTTTTACTTGTTTTAGAGTAGCTGCGTTCAAACTTGTATGCAAGTGTCAGACAAGAAAGGAATATTCTAATTCATGATTGCAATTTTCTAAAACACAGATTTGCGATCCTAATTTGTTGCTTGTGGTAACATGTTAACTTTATTTTGCTTATGTATAATACACTTTATATTCAGTTGCATCAATATATTTACATAATGTAACATGATAGGATAAACATACGTATATTAAATGTTTCTGCTGAACAACGTGGGGCTTAAAGTTGCTGAAGATCTCACTGAAAAATTGTATTTTTGAAAACGACAGTAAATGATCGGCAGGGTCACTTTCTTGATCAAACTGTATGTGAATCAACAGTCAAATCAATATTGCATTTTTTACTCCTGTGTTAGACGACCTCTTTCTACCTGTGTTAGACGACCTCTTACTACCTGTGTTAGACCACCTCTTCCTACCTGTGTTAGACGACTTCTTTCTACCTGTGTTAGACGACTTCTTTCTACCTGTGTTAGACGACTTCTTTCTACCTGTGTTAGACGACTTCTTGGGACTTACGGGAATCACCATGTCAGTCTAGCTGTCCATATGTCCATCAAAGTTTTTTCTTAATTCACAGATCATCATGTAATTATTAATTACACTTTTAGGGAACAGATGCTAGACAAATTTTGACATATACAGTAATTGCATTATGTATGTCTATAATTATATATATAGGCATTTATTGTCCCGAAAGTATTTCCGACATTGATTTTATTTCCAATTTCTGTAAAAATTTTGTAATTTTCTTCAAACTTCTTGGCCTCATATTTTTGATTTATTTTAAAAGCTGAAGTGTGGCTTCTTACTTACAGATAACCTGTAACAGAGCTTAATGTAAGCTAAACTGATTGTTCAGCGTATGTCTGTATTAATATATGTTTATATGTATGTGACCTAAATTGAGTTTTTGTTTGTATTTTTTTTATTTAATGGTATGATAACTTGTCATTTTATATTCAAATTAAGCTAGGATGTATTCTCTTTACTTCCAAGGAATAGCTTTATAATAAAGTGTGTAGATTGTCAATGAAGATGCCACTTCTGTTTAGTACTTTCATTTGTAATAGATTGTGCGCCCTCATATTGAAGATAATAGTCCAGACTGATTGCGCCACATCGTCTTAGCAAAGAGGTATTTGTGTCATATCTGTTATAGTGAAGAAATATGTTTATACAATTGATTGTAGTTGCCCATGGACCATTTATTTTGCCTCATTTTGAAGAAAACATAGTTCAGCTTTGGTTGCGCTATAACCTCTATGCAAAGAATTATTTATGTCATGTATGTTGCATTGAATAAATATGAATCGATAGGTTTATACATCATGTAATAATAAAAGAAATAATGACTTTCAAATGTAGGTATATAATGTAGAAAACAGTTTTCAAACAATATATAGGGACTTTATAATGACACTAAGAGTGCCCATTTTCAAGAACTCTCTACACAATGCACACAAAAATAAGCTGATTCTAGCAATATATTTATAGAGTAAGAGTAATCTGCTCTTGGATCTAAAACTCAATAAATGGAAATTACAGTCTATTGCTCAATCTGTAATTGATGTTAGTATTAAAATTTGAATTTTTCAAGATAAATAAACACTATTTGCATGATATTTCCTGAAGGCAAGATACACTAAAACTATTTGCATGCATTTTCCCCACTTAAGTAAACAAGTGGTTTTTGTTCATTAATACTTCAATATCTCTGAATATTTTCCTGAGTTGAAAATGAAAAAAAAGATTAATATTTGTAGCTTTAAACCTTCATAATTTTCTCAATGTCAAAAGAAATTTATCAATCTACATAGAGGGTCCTTAAATGCGAGAACAAATTTCACAAATTTTTAGAAAGTGAAAACGTGTGCTATTTTGAAATTAATACAACATAAAAGATATTTGTACTTTTGATCTTTTTTTTTTTAGACAAGGGGCATGAAAATTATAATGATGACTCCTCACTAAACTGAAAAAGAAAATCCAGACTATTTCGAAGTGAATGCACTAGAAAATCGTGAAATGATAATATCATACCAAGACTACCGTCAAGGTTCCAAGACCTCTTGCTGTTTCATATGTATATTTTTTTTTTATGAATTTCTAATCCATTCAGGAATAATTCTTAAAACATTAAAGTAAAGAAAGTTAATCTGAGAAAAAAAACTTGATTATCACAGAAACATCCTAAAACTATACAATTTCGTTTCTCTTAATCCTTTGAGGTATACTAGCTCTTTCAAAAATAGAGTAAATACATGTATAGCTATGAAGATGTACCTATACCGAACAAATTTTGATTTCACTCCGTAAAATTTTTTGGGCTCAGAAAGGTTATTGAAGCCGAATTTTTGGGGTAAAGGATAAAAGGGAAAAATGTGAAAAATGTGTTGTATTTTTTTGGCTACTGTATTTAAAAAAAAAAACAAAACATTTTTGAGTAAAAAAAAACTTTTTGATTAACATGAACTGCAAGCATTACATCAATGCATTCATTCCTTACGTTAAGTAATACATGTTTGAATGAATTTTGCAAACATGGTATTTACAATCCGTTATGTGTATGTTGGAAGATCCTCATGGAATAAAATTTCACAAATTACATAAAAATGCCTTTGACAAACCAATATCCCTTTCATTTCCTAAAACTGTCTTTTGTGATTTTGTTTAAAATCGCCATTGAAATCATTGAAATCAGACAGGTTCAGATTATTCTGAATATATATATATATATATATATATATATATATATATATATATATATATATATATATATATATATATATATATATATATATAGATAGATAGATAGATAGATAGATAGATATAGATATATAGATAGATATATATATATATGTATGGACCGTTCTCTGGGAAAACTGGTCTTAATGACAACACTCTCGAAATTGACTTTTTCAAATATTTCATATCTACAACAAATTCAGGACACACAGTCAAAATTTGAGGATTTAATTTGCTATAGTTTTAAAAATATACGTGTTTGAAAACAACTTGTTGTAATGAAGCAATAACGTCATTGACGTTATTCAATAACGATATCTTTTTTTTTTTTTTAAAATGACGTCTTAGAAACAGAGACTAAGATTAATATGATGATGAAATACAATTTTAACCTAACTTTATCCTTACACATTTTGAGTAAAAATATCACTAAGGACATTTATTAAATTATTTAGTGTGTGTGTATCTGTACATGTTGCACAGTGATTGACTACAATGAATACATGTTTATGTATATCAACTTAATTTCATAAAGGTAAACTATACTTCTTGCTTTCAATAAATATTGTTGAAAACGACAAAGAAAATAATTATGATAACAAAGAAACAGGAAACTAAATACAAAACAAAGCTGTGTCATTTCATGTACGTTGACAGGCCCGATGGGAAATTCATGACCAGGTACATGCTTGCGAGAGTCAGTGAGACTAATTGGATATGAAATAACTGGCGTATCCTGGTTACGATTTCTTGTCTTTTAATATGCTGATCCTCACTTCTGCTACTGAAACTCATTCTTCTACGGACACAATACCAAGCTCTGTACTTTGAAACCAGTGGTACTTTTGTTTTCCCCTTAGAGGCTTAGGAAAGTCTTCCATTCCAGCCACTGTCATTCAGGGTACTGGGGAGCCGAGATTGCGACTGAAAACTGGTCCATGATTGTTTGAAGCTGATCAATGGAGTTGGTCTCTAAAGTTTGATTAAAACAAATCCACCACCTATGCTGTAAAGTGTATGACTCTGAACTTGCATCATATATACTGTTTGTACTGCTGTCCCTTCATAATATGCCACATAAATTACATATATTCCAATCATAAACTGTTTCTTGTTTTGGCGGTTGCAATTGTCAGTATGAATTGTAAGTTCTGTATTGAGAAAACGACTAGTCCAAAGAATTGAATCTGGCCCATGAGTATTTGTATCTTTACACACCATAGTTTCATGTTAATTTTTTTTTTAATTGCTTTAGGATATCGTCTACTCGAAACCCAAAGATCTGGATTTTGCAGAGTCAAGAAATAGAAGTGGCCTCATTTGGAGAAAATAATGAGGTTTAACTCATTGGTATCAGAAAATCAGTTTTTGTGATGTAACTGGAATATTACATGGTATACGGGAGAAGTGTTGACCGCTGAAACTGCCAAGCTCCTGTAAATAAACCAGAACTCTATTTAAATGATGTTTGCGGAGTTAATAAATATAAATAACTAACACGCAGAAATTTAACTTGCTACATATTTTTTTTTTAAAATGTTATTAAGTGTAATGAAATAAAGTAGACAACTTAATATGCACAGGCTGTAGGAGCTAATTTTAGTTGAAAAGGGGGGGGGGGGGGTGTTCAGCCTAAAAGAAAATGTTAACAAACAAAACCAAATATGACAATTTACTTTTGAAAAGGGAACAACCGTAACCTAGCTTTACATGTATATTCATTTGTAAAGTATTTTTTTAGGGGTAAAACATTTAATACATGTAAGCTTTGCTTTATATTGTTTAAAAGTATAGAATGGTAAAAATATTGCCCCATCCCCTTCCCCGGTTCTTATGGATATTATATATAGTACAGCATGAAGGATGATTCCTTTTCTTATTATGCAATACAAACAAAGTAATGTACTTCCCACAGGCACCTGAATAGCGGATAAAGGACATGAACTTATCGTCAACCAACACCTCCCCCCCCCCCCCCCCTCTATTCGGACGGAGTTTAAGATGAGTTACTTTTCATGATATGCTCTATTAAAATCAAATCAACCATCTCGGAGACACATTTTAGGTGAACATCTTTGCTTTTAATTTGTCTGGGTAGTATCTCCCCTTTTGCCAGCTTTTCCTGATTTTGTATGTCTTAAAATGACATGCACTTTTCGATCTTCAGAAATTTATAAACCGAAACTAGGAAAATTAAACACATGGCTGTTTAGATGTCGAAATTTAATTTAATATTAAACTAAAGTTTAATTTGATGCTATATTTATCCCAAATATTAGTATACTGTAAAAACTTATTTTTTTTAATCGTATATGTTTACACACTTTTGTTTTTTATGCTTGTACAGACTCGTGCTAGTTTCTACTTACTGATGATAGTTATGTACAGTTATTTTACAAATTGTAAATGCTGTGGAAAATAATCATCCATAAGAACAAAAATACTATAAAATATATTGTATTTACCTAGTAAGGATTTTTTAATAGTCGTCACTACATATTTGTAGAATACTTAATGCAAAAATTATTCGATACTAACAAATATACATTTTACTACTTAAACGATTATAGTAAGTTTATATGTGTGGGTGAATTCTTAAAGGTACAGAATAATAAGAATGACAAATTTGACGGAGAATGTTTTTAAAAATATGGGATCGTTATATTTTGGTTATAAGGGGGAGGGGGTTGGTCCATCTTTGCTAGCCAATGATTTGTGAATCACAAACTCTTGGCTAGCGACACTCCAGCCAAGTACATGTGGTATATAAGTATCCCACTCTCTCCGTATCCCTCCATTATGTATCGGAATCAAGAGAGGATCTAGGATTTTTTTTCCGGGGGGGGGGGGTGCACCCCAGTAAAAATTAATCAAGACCATAAATTTGATGACGAGTAAAAAAAAAACAAACAAAAACGTACACTACTTTCAAATGTGAAAACCTTATTTCGTAAAGGAGTTGGTCGGGGATGGGGGTGTGGAGGCAGAACCGCTTTCCTTCACTTCTTAAGCTTCAAAAGAATTACTCCTCCCACTATCTTAATAGGTGTCCTTGTTTTATGGGAGAGGAAGAGGGTCCAAGGTCTTTTTTAGTTAGTTTACTATCTATATATGATTACTGCACAAATTTCGGGGGGGGGGGGGGTTCGGGACCCCCTCTAGATCCGCGCATTGGAATAACATTAAAATATGTTAACTGTTTTGATATTGATTTGATTTAATTATTCTTTTAGAGAAATATTAAGGAATTTTATATAGCAACGCCGGTGTTAAAACACACACAGAAAAA